GGTGATCTTAACTGCTGAGCCCTGTCACAACACCTCAATATTAATTCTTTGTTCCTGTTTTAAAGTTCCATGTTGCTCCCTGCAGTATTTCTAGATCTAGTAGTTTCCCCTGCTTGTTTTAGTCTCTTGTTTTCATATAGGAGACTTTTCTTAAACTATTGTTTTCTAAGTTCATTCCTATTTAAAAATAAAACCTTGCTGGCTGTGGTAGCATATGCCTTTAATCTGAGCACTTGAGAGGTAGAGGCAAGTGAGTTTGAGGCCAGCCCTGTCTACATAGTAAATTCCCAGGATAGCTGAGACTACAGGGAGAGAAACCCTGTCTCAAAAAGAAAATAATAGTTATAATGATGATGATGATGATAATTAATAATACTAAATAAAGATTTTAACAAGGCTTAAAGGCCAACAGGAAGCTTTGTACAATCATTTAAGGGTAGGTCACATCGTGAGGACCAGCTATAATTTGAGTGTGTTATAGAAGAGACTGCAAAACTCAGTATATGTTTATGTTTGGAGGGAAAAGAAAGTTCCAGTTCACACATACACACAGGCGCACACCCCTTTTCTGTCACTGGTACAGAGGGTTCGAGCACCAGCCAGGGTGCTCAGTGTCTGGCAGTGTACCCCTGAGCCTGTGAACTAAAACCATTGTTCTCAACACCACTCTCCTTCACTTTACAGTGTCCTGGGGTCTGGAGTTTCTCTCGGGAGATTTTCCTGTGTGCTCAGCCTCTGTTCCCCTGCATTGGTGCTGTTCCCCAGGTTCCCTGGAGAGCTGTGAGGGCCTCCGAGGTCTCTGAGCAAGCTGGGCCTGTCTCAGCTCTGTTCATTCCTCGCCCAGCACCCCATCCCAGTCCTGCCCACCAGAGCCTACATCTCTGGGCTGCAGACCGCCAGCCTCCCTTGTGGTGCAGCTGTTGCCTCTTCTGTCTCCTGGTGTGTCTAGCACAGTGTTTGTATGCCGCACTGTAATCATTTACCCACTTAGTTTTTATTACGAGTAGACATATGGATACACACAGACACCCATGTCATGCATATGAATATTCAAGCAGTCCAAAGGATAAACACACTCCTTCAGTTCCTCCCAGAAGCACTGAAAACTACTAGTTACCTCTGTGTTTTAAACGAGTGTGCGTGTGTGTGTGTGTGTGTGTGTGTATGTGTGTGTATGTATATGTGTGTGTGTGTGTGTATGTATATGTGTGTGTGTGCATGTGTGTGTGTGTGTGTGTACGTGTGTGTGAGTGTGTGTGTGTGTGTGTACATGTATGTGTGTGTGTACGTGTGTGTGTGTGTGTGTGTGCGTGTGTGTGTGTGTGTGTGTGTGTGTGTTAGGGCATATGTATGCCATGGCATACATGTATAGGTCAGAGAACTACTGGTGGGAATAAATTTCTCTCCTATCACCCTGTGGTTCCTGGGGAATTTGAATTCAGGTCGTCAGGCTTAGAGGCAAGCACAAAACACTTTACCCACTGAGCTACCTTGCTGACCCATACCCATTACTGTACACCTTCACATACATACAAAAGCATGAAAGGAAAGAAATTGATTTTACATTAAACAACAACAGACTTTGCATGCCCTGAGCTAAGTAAAGAGTAGTGTGTAACTCTCCCAATCCTACTTCAGGGTCCATTGCAGTTGGTAGATATGTTCAAAGGTTCTTCATTCAAATATGTGCAGCAGCTACCTGCACAAAAGCCAGCTGAGGTCATATGGGGGTGGGGCTTAAGCGCAGGCAGTTGACGGCAAGTTCAGCCTCCTGCATGGGCTTTGCATTGCTTCCCTGCATCCTCTCCTGTTTTAGTCTCTGTTTCTTCTCTCCTGGAAGCATCTCACTGGCTCTTGGTTCCCCGGCTGGCCATAGATATAGTCTATCCTGGCTAAGAATTACAGAATGAGCATGTTCTAGTCTGTCCCATTAACTGGTCTTTGCCAAGGACAGAACCCAGTCGTCTCTGCATGTTGCAGGGCCAGGTCTAGCTTGTGGGGGGCTATGTGCTCTGCCAGCCCAGTGATACTATGAATCTTTATTTCTGCAACAGAGCCACCTGCTGCCAAGCCAGACTTGATCATAAGACTGAAACAGAGAGCTGCACCCTGGATCAAGGACCCTAATGGGTTAAAGTCAGGGAAAAGTCGTTCCCTAGGTGAGTCTAGCCTCATCAAGTTCTAAAAGGCACAAGTCTGGACACATGTAGCTACAGGAAGCCATGCAACATAAATTCAGCCATGCTTGTCCTGGACCGATTGTGTTACTCAGCCACAAGTAGAGAAAAAGATAAATAGGGAACTAGCCTTACCTGAGACTGTAGAACGGTCTAGACTGCTGGGGCAGTGTAGAAGAAATGAGGTCCTCTGACAAACAGAAGTGCTGATAGCTGTGGCTGAGGGCGGGGGTGGTAAATGAGAGACACTAGACAATGGCTGTGTGGCCTGTGAGAACTACGTATTTTACACACCCCAGTCCATAACTCACTGGTGAGGAGCTGCTCTGTGTGAGTCTTGACCTCCTTTCTGAGACTCATGAGATGAAGATGCTTGGATTTAACCTCACTAGCTGTGAAGCTTCATGAGAAGATGAAAGCTACCTGTTTATCTAATAATGTCTATGGCCAAGCGTGCCTGATTAATTCATCAGCATCTGGTTATCTCATAGTCCTGGGGTATCCGGTAAGTGGATGGGAAAGCCAGCAAAATAACAAACAAGGGCATGCCTCTGCCGCTGGGGAGTCAGGTTAGCCTTGACTAGCACTGCTGGGAAGGGCTCGTCGAGGCTGGCATTGATCTGTCGTAGGAGGGACTGTGTTTGGCTTCTCCGTTTTGGTGTCTTACTCAACACACATGTCTTAGTTAGTAGACCACAGAGCCTGGAACAACAAAACCAAACATAATTTAATGTTTTCAAAGGGAAAAAGAAGATGGCAGCAGTGAGAGAAGCCAACATCCAAACCCAGGCCTCAGCTACCACAGAGTCCTCACTTCCAGCCTCCATGGAGACATGTGCCTCCCACTGTCCCCCCAGCGTGTGTGAAGGAGAAGTCAAGAGGACATACAGGCCCCGTTCCATTCAGAGGTCATGGTTTGGGCAGTTCCCCTGGTTAGTAATGGACTCCAAGGAGACCAAGCTGTTCTGCTCTGTTTGCAGAGAAAGACCAACTCTCCATGACAAGTCATCCCGTTTGGTCCAAGGTTATACTGGGCCTTTTAAAGTGGAAACTTTAAAATACCATGAGGTCAGTAAGGCACACAAACTGTGTGTCAACATTGTGGAGATCAGAGATGACAGCCCTCAGCCTACCCTCACTCCAGAGATCTCCAGTGACCTCATGGCCAACATGGAGCACTTCTTCAGTGCTGCCTACTTCATTGCCTACCACTCCAGGCCTCTGAATGACTTCGAGAAGGTCTTGCAACTCCTCCAGAACACTGGCACCACGCTATTAGGCAAGTACCGGAATCGCACGGCCTGCACTCAATTCATCAAGTATATCTCCGAGACTCTGAAGAAGGAGATCCTAAGGGATATTCGGAACTCCCCGTGTGCGAGCCTGCTATTGGACAGCTGCACAGACTTCTCCAACCAGGCCTGTGTGGGTATTTACATGCGCTACTTGAAGCAGATGGAGGTGAAAGAGTCCTACGTCACTCTAGCCCCTCTCTCCAGTGAGACAGTAGACGGGTACTTTGAGACCATCATCGCTGCCCTGGATGAGCTGGATATCCCTTTCCGGAAGCCTGGCTGGGTGGTGGGTCTGGGGACTGATGGGTCTGCCATGCTGAGCCGCAAAGGAGGCCTTGTGGAAAAGTTCCAGGAGGTCATGCCTCAGCTGCTGCCCATGCACAGTGTGGCCCACCGGCTGCATGTGGCTGTGGTGGACGCTTGTGGGAGCATTGATCTGGTGAGGAAGTGTGATCGGCACATCCGGACTGTCTTCAAGTTTTATCAGTCTTCGAACAAGAGGCTCCGTGAACTGCAGGGTGTTGCAGCTCCCCTGGGACAGGAAATCATCCGTCTGAAGGACTTGAACGCTGTCAGGTGGGTGGCCAGCAAAAGGCGCACTCTGGACACGCTCACTGTGAGCTGGCCTGCCCTGGCTAGGCATCTGCAGGGTGTGGTGGAGGCCGGGGGCCAGACCGGTCAGAGAGCCAAGGGCATGCTGAAGCTGGTGAAGAGCTTCCATCTCGTCAAGTTCTGTCACTTTCTTTTGGATTTCCTGAGCATCTTCAGGCCTCTGTCTGAGGTGTGCCAGAAGGAGCTTGTTCCGGTAACAGAAGTGAATTCTTCCCTGGGGCATGCCTATGTGGCACTGGAGAGTCTCCGCCAACAGGCAGGGCCTAAAGAAGAAGAGTTCAATGCCAGCCTCCAGGATGGGCAGCTCCATGGCATCTCCCTGGAGAGAGTGGAGATGGCAGAGCAGTGGTTCCAGGCAGACAGGGAGAGAACCATTCTCACTGGGGCCGAGTACCTCCAGCAGAGGTTTGATGCAGACCGCCCTGCACAGCTCAAGAACATGGAGGTATTAGACACCATGGCCTGGCCTAGCGGGATCGAATTGTCCTGCTTTGGGAACAATGACATTCTCAGCCTTGCCAGGTATTTCGAGCTTTCCCTCCCTGTGGGGTACAGTGAGGAAATGCTGCTGGAGGAGTGGCTGAGCTTGAAAGCAGCTACCCAGAACCTTCCATTCTCCGGGCTGTGTAAGAACACCCTGACTCAGCACTGCCGATTCCCTCTACTGAGCAAGCTCATGACCGTGGTAGTCAGCGTGCCCATCTCTACTTCCTGCTGTGAACGGGGATTCAAGGCCATGAACAGGATCAGGACTGGTGAGAGGACTAAGCTCTCCAATGAAGTGCTCAACACTCTCATGATGGCGGCTGTGAATGGTGTGGCAGTCACAGAGTATGACCCCCAGCCAGCCATCCAGCACTGGTACATGACCTCTTCAGGACGACGCTTTAGCCTACCCACTCCCGTGCCAGTAAGTATAAAAATCACTTGTATGGGAACCAAAGATGAGCCCATATGTTTCCAGTCCCACACTGAGCCAGGGTCTAAGCAAGTCGACCCACAAAGGAGGGACCTGTGTATGGAGTGTGCAGGTGCTCAGCCACTTGCAGGGAGGAACTGGAGACAGGAGAACTATCCTGGAGCAGCGTGTGACCGAGCTAGAGAGATCTGGAGCTCAGGCCCGTGACAGCAGGTGTACTGCCACATGCAATTTGGAGTCATCTGCCCCAGCTGTAGGTCTAGCTCCTCTGCAAGCCAGTATCCTGGTGCTAGGATTTTCATCTAGTAGTGAGTTAGCACACAACAGTCTGACCAGTAGAGCACATGGCACTAAGATGAAGCCTACTGCTGGAAATTAAAATTCATGGGCTTGAGGTGTTGGGCCATGGTGGTGTCGTGTTCTAATCTGGGTTGGGTTGACTTTGGGGCAGGCGGTGTGGTTACAGGAGAGAAGACAGCAGTGAGGGTGAGGTGGCTATGAAGGAAGTAGTGTGGAGAGGTATTTCATTTGGGGCTGTGGGAATCCCTGGAGCAGGGGAGCCTGAAAACAGATGGGGAGCCTCTGTTAGCCCATCAGTCAGAGAATGAGGTTGTATTCTATCATAGGGCAAAGTACTGACATCGGATTGGGAAATTCCCCTCTCCTCCAGTCCTGGAGACCAAAGCCCTCCACCAGTGAGGGTTCTCCACACTGCCTGGTGCTTGTCTCTTTCATTTTTCCAGCCAATCACCTTCCTACTGCTCCCACTGCTTTTTCTTTTTTCCTTCTGAGCCTGTGGTCATTGGCAGTGAACTTGAGTATCAGGGGTAACAAAGCTTTATGGGAAGACTGATGACCGGCACCCCAAATGGACAGGAAGTAGAGATGTGTGTCCTTCCATGTGATAGCAAAGAGTGACCTCAATGATTCTGTCTTCTGCACTGGGGTGAGGGAGGAAGAGCTGTCCTCTCCATGGAATTGGTGAGTGGTACCCACAAGGAAGCAAATGGAGACACTAGCAAATTGTGTGTGAGGTTGCCACCCCCTTATTAGGCTTTGTGGACACTCAAGGCCCAATAACTCCTTGTAGTGGGCCCCGATACAGTGGATGCATGCAGGTCCCCGGCCTCAAACCCATTAATTCCCCTCTGGAATACCAGTATCTGCTTCCCAGTTGTGACAACCAAAAGGACCTTCAGACATTTCCATATGTCCCCTGAGGACAAAGCCCCAACCCAATCCATTGCCCTGGCGTTGGGGGCTGGGAGGGGGGTCGGGGAGACAGGCAGAGCAGGCAGTTGTGTAGTGTGGGAAACAGTGCTGGCCTGTCTGGTCTGTACTGAGTGTTGGCTTTACCATGCTTAGACATGGGGTAGGGAAGGCACCCATCCTCTGCTCAGTGTGCTTATCATTGACTCCTCCACAGATACAGAGCTCTGGAAGGAGGGGGATGGCAGCTCTCCATAAGGAAGAGCCCATGGTCCGGAAGACATCCGTCACACCGTCTGGGGAGCCATGAGGTGCAGAAGGGTCACATGGTGAAGGTTCCTGGACCCTATAACATCCCAAAGGCCATGCGGTTCTGAAGAGTGGCCTGGCCAAGGCTTTGGGGCACTTTGATCATGGAGAGAGACTTTCTGAAGATTCTAGGCTGTCCTCATGGGCCCAGAATGTGGGCAGTGACAAAGGGTTGAAGCAGACATTCCCAAGGGACAAGGCCCTCAAGGCGCAGCAATACCACCCATTGCAAAGCCATGTTAGAGACATACTTACCTCAAGTCTGTTTTTGCCAAAGAAGGAATTCTGCTATGAGTTTGCCCCATACATTCTGGTGTCAGAGGACTTTCCTAAAATGGGAAAGTGGGGGTAGTAGGTGAAAGGGACACCCTAGCTCTCTGCATCCCTGGCCCAGATAGGAGGTGGCCTCTGAGGAAGATCACTTTGGTGGTGGAAATGACCATGGTCCAGGGACCTTGGCTTGCTGCAGAAGCCCCCAGGATTGGCTATTCTGGACCACTGCAGAGGCTCATACAGTATAATCAAGGAGACCCTACCCCTCAAGGCCTGTCTTTAACACAAAACAGACTAATATTCTAAGAAAGGAGGTCTCAGCACAACTCCTATACAGTGAGAAATGCATGCGTCCTCTGAAGGGGGCCTGGTCTCCCTTCTCCATCCTGGAGCCCTAAGGTTAGTTGCTGTGGCACCAGGCAGTGTCTGAGGAGTGCACGAGAGGTGGGAGTCAGGAGGCGTGGAATCCAGGCTAGCTCTTCCGCAGACAATGTGTCTATGATTAATCCCTTCCTCTTCTGTGCCTCAGTTTCACTCCTCATGTGATGGTTGCCACAGAGAATCAAGTGCCTGTTGGCTCCCTGTAGCTGAAGCATTAGTCGGTGGGAGCCTCAAAGTCCTGGCAAGAAGGGCTTGTCTACAGCACTTAGCTCCTACTCTACCCTTGTCCTTAGTGGTAAAGGCATCAGCTTTGCTGCTAGGGTCCTATTGGAGGAGGAAGTGCTGTCCACACATACTGTCCACAGGACAGGTGCACCCGTTCTGCAGAATGCCCTGCAGACTGCTGGGAAGCCCCAGGGCTTGCCAAGCATGCCCCATCCTGGATGCATACAATCTTACTCCCCCAACCAGCTCGGCAGCTATGGTTTCTCATAAGCTTTCCCAGGATCTTTGTGGGTTTCCTCTAGCTTAAAAGCCACTTCCCTTCTCATAGAAGGACCTCCAGTAAAGTTTTGTCTTTGGGCCCTCTCACATTTCCCCCTTTATTGTGAGCTGAAGCTCTGCTCCTTCCAGGGCAGCCTGGCCTTGCAGGCTGGGCGGTTGCCTGTTTGGTTAGGATGATCTGTCTAGGTTCTACCATTAGCTCCAGGTTAGAGAACTGCCGGGAACAAGGATGACTGGTCTGGGATGCTCTGGGCTCCTGGTTTCAAGGATGTGCAAATTAGGTTAAAACACCATGTTCAAGTCTTACCTTTTGTTATTTGATAAAGCAGAACTTGCCTTTTTGCTGTCCTTGTATGTATGGCCTTCCTCTCTGAATCCTGAGTGAGCCAAGAGGTTCTGCCCATGAGTATGAGAAGATGGAAATGCGAGTGACTTGTACCCTGAATTAGGATCAAGCATTCCATGGTCACTGTTGCTTAGCACATCATAGCTATCAGAGGTTTTTATCCAAAAGCCTGCTTTCAAGGGACAATCACCCATTTTCACCAGTAGCGCCAAAACCGTGACACCACCCAACAGAATTCCCAAGAAACTGTTTCAGGATACCCTCTGCAGTTCCACTCAGAAGTCAGGTGCCATCTGCTAGCTCTCCTGGCAGGATGGAGCAAAGTGGCACAGATATTGGAATACTATCAAATCTCTGGCCAGGAGACTCAGTCCATCACATCTGCATGTGTGTGGATTTCAGTGGCACTAGAGAAACATTGCAAGCAACAGCATGGGTGACTGTTTCTGGTCTGGAGTGCTAGAGCGCTGCAGCTGCAGCTGGGAGAGGCAGCCCTCAGAGGTGCTGGAGACTCCTCCCGGCCTTCCAGGAAGGTGTAGCCTAGAAACAGGCTGCCATGGGCAGTCTCGGCTGGCATGGCCTTGCTTTCTCTTTAGCAGGAAAGCTTCCAGAGAAGGCAGTACCTACCAGGTAGCAAAGCAGTCTCTTCAAGGAACATGCCAGAAGGTGAGGGGGTGAGCTAATACCTGGGGGCCTGTTGTGCCTCTGCCTGGTGAGGGGAACCCAGGGTGCAACTGCTTGCTATTTGCACCTTCCAAGTGACATAGCCCCTGTTGCTGGGGACTCCAGGACAGAGCCTCCTCGGTGTAGGTCTTCCCATGGGTCAGTACAATCCTCAGACCCCGGAAGGCTTTTCGCCGGAGTCCACCTCCTAGCGAGGGCAGGTCCTGAAGATGGGTGGACATGCTAGTGCAGCAATGGGAGGAATCAGGCACCAGACACTTCTTAGTTTCCTTTTAGGAGAGATGGACAGAGAGGAAGTGCATCCCCTGTGGAGACACAGGGCCCAGCAGGGCATTTAAAGGGTTGGTGAGAAAGGGAAGAGAGCCAGGCCGTGGTGGTCAGGAGAATCCTGCAGCCTGACTGACAAGCAGCCAGAGTGCTTCTATATTTATACAGAACTCAGTAAGCAGGGGTACACTCATGTTGTTCCAAAACATAGATCATATCACTTTTGGTTTTGGACATGTGTTTAACATTTTCTCTTATTCATCTTTTAGTCATCATTAATGTACTATGACAAAACAGTTATCATTTTCAATCATTTTCCAAGCTTTGGCATCACTGATACACAGAATTATCTTTTATAATCATTCTTACTTATTAACCCCTAACCCAATTTTTAAGAATCTAGAGGCACATGAGAGCCTGTACTTAGGCTGGTAGCTTTTATGGCTACAAGGACACTAGACCAAAACAAAATCTCCAAGCCTGCCTGGGCATGTTGCCATGTCCCAAGAAGTATATTATTAACTCTTAATGGTCAGAGTGTCCATGAAAAATCCTCAGGCCAAAGCTGCTGCGGTTATTCAAATTCTGGCGTAGTGCAAAGTTCACATTATAGAATGCTTTTCTCATCTTTCTACACCATTCTTTGCCCACCAGTCTGAATCTCTGTGTGGGACAGCAGTAACTTCAGCTAATCTAATTTTGTTGCTGTATATGCCACGGAATTCCCTGAGTATATAGTGAGAAGAGGCCAACGCCTCTAACCCATTGAATTATGTTGACCTTTTTGAGTTTACTTTGTTTAGAGACCTCTGGTTTCTTTGTGTGTGTCACGACCTCCAAGGTATAAGGAAGACTTTCAAGTAGATAAGGATATCTCCCTAAAAGCAGGAGGGGTGGTAAGTTCAGGACTTTTCTGAGGACGCTTAGAAACAGTACTCCTGGGAGAAGGCATAAATGATTCATAAGAAAATTTCCAACAACTCAATACCCCCAAATTATACAAATATTTAAAGTCCTCCAAGTATGCAACAGGCAGAGATCATCAAAACCACGTGGTGGCATGTCAGCCATCATGCAGCTCAGCTTTGCTGGACCTTTGTCAAGTAGCTGTGCTGGCTTTATGAGTTGTGCCGTCCCTATCAGAAATGACTGTGCCACTGGGCCTTTCCCTGGGCTTTTTGAACGCTGCCTCTGTCCATAACTCTTGCTACCCTCAGCACCCAAAGGTATGTTAACCTCTGTACCCAAGAATGGATGCCTGAAGTGACTCATATTTTACCCTATTTCCATACGTAGTCAGGACTGTTGCCAGAGTGCCTTGTGCAGATGTACACGCGACTGTATGGCAGAAAGCCACGCACAATGACACAGACTTGTAGTCACAGACGTGGAAGACTGAGTGAGGCAAGAGAGAGTTCAAGGCCTGCTTGGGCCGTGAGGATATCAACATAAGAGAAACCCCTGCAGTAGAAATGCTTGTGGTTCGTAGCTCGGCATAGGGACTACACATCTATCAGATAGAATGCTGGCCACATTTGGGGGCAAAGACCATGTCCCCAGATACCCAGGGCTGCCAGATCACAACACGTGACCCACCGCGTCCTGGTGGGAATAAGACGGCGCAAATACTACTCAGCCAATCAAAATAAGGATTCCTCGGAAGCCCCGCCCTTAGCCCTGAGTGACAGCTGGTGTGCAGGCTGCGTTCCCAGCGGGCGGGGTTTAGAGATGAACCAGCGCAGATTCGCTTGGTCCAGGGCCTGTGCTACAGGGATCACGTTGCGCATGCTCACGGCCCTCCTCCAGGACGTGCACCTGCTTGGAGAATCCGCCGTTCGACCCAGCAACCCACCCGAGCAGAGCATCGCGCACCCAGTCATGACAGCACACTCCTTTGCCCTCCCAGTCATCATCTTCACCACGTTCTGGGGCCTCATCGGCATCGCTGGGCCCTGGTTTGTGCCCAAAGGACCCAACCGCGGGTAAGGAAGGCAGGCGAACAGGCCTCGATTCCCTGCAGACCCTCTCCTGTCCCCTGGCTAGGCTCGCCCCTTCACCCTGAGGCTCCCGCTTGCTACCCTGCAGCTCATAACCACACCTGAACCCTCTCGAGACTTCTTCCAGACCTATTCCTGGGTCGCGGCATCCAGAAAACAGGCAGGAGGGCTGATGAAAGGGTGGATTCAGAAGTCAGGGGACGTTTGAATGTGGTTAAATGCCCCCACCCCCCAACACACACCAGCAGTCGGTAAAGGCCACCCATGGACACTGATGTGGTATCCTTGCCAGCTATGTGACACTGGGTAGATGCCGGGCCTCAGTTTCCTCACTGAGGAAAATAGGGACGATGGCAGTACTGCTTTGTAAGGCTGTTGTGAGGGTTGCCCTAGGCAACGTCCTGGGCAGGTTGTGTGCTGGATTTTAGCTCCTTTCAGTTTTGGAAGGTTCCTAACAGATTTCTGCACCATGTACCAGTCCCTCCTCCTTCAGCCTCTCAGTCAAGAAGCCTTCACACTTTGCCCCCTCCTCCACTGCCTCAGCACTGACTGTCCAGTGCACAGCCAAGTGTGGTCCAAGCTTTCGCATAATGTTAAAGGAAGGACTCAGTACTAATCTCCTCAGCACCACCTTAAAGTGCTTGGGTTTGCTTGGATTAGATTTAGCCAAGGTTTAGCTGGAGCTGCAGATGGGCATTCATGCAAATCTGAAGGCAGCTGGAGAGATGGCTCAACAGAGAACCTCTTCCAGAGGACCAAAGTTTGGCATTCACATAGGGCGACTCACAACTGTGTTAACTACAGCTCCAGGGGATCTGAGACCCTTTCTGGCCTTTGGGCACCAACACACACGTTCACATACCCACATACACATATAAGAAAAATAAAAATAAGTCTTTTAAAAAAGATTTAAACTGGGCTCCACAACTTTAGTCTGTAGTTACTCCACCGTCACCCCCCTGAAAGCCTGGGTGGACTCCTTCTTGTCTAACACACCTCTCCAGTTATGTTGGAAGCCTCTATCCTTGGACTTTTCTGAGCCCCTGTTTTCTTTATAGCAGTCCGGCCTCTGTCAACACTGTTCTGCCTCCTTGCTTCCTGCCCTGTCTTCTGATCTGTTGTTTTCTTTGACGTTACCACATGAATCTTGAGGCCATTCTATGGTAGCTGCCACAGATGGAGCTTGGGCAAAGCCTTCTCCAGTGCTAAGGCAGAGAAGTGTTTGCTGATGAAGAAGAGAGAGAAAGTGAGAGATTTACAACATACCTTGGATGTAGATGACCTTTGATGTTCTTATACTTTGTCCTGTAATTCTTACTCAGAACCGACCTCAGTCTCCTTTCCAGGAAGGCTCACGTGGGAAGTTCTTTCTCTGGCCCTGTGTGCCACGGTTGACTTTCCCTTTGTGCTGTTGCAGGGTGATCATCACCATGCTGGTAGCCACTGCTGTCTGCTGTTACCTCTTGTGAGTACTGCCTTCCCCCAGGAGCTGGGACCTGTGGTAACCACCAATGCTGGGTCTGGTTCTGCCTCCCAGGTGACAGTTGCCTCCAGATGAGCTGTGAGATTCGTGAGTTGGGTCAGCTCAGTAGTGTCTACTCCTATCTGGGCATCAGAATCCTCAGACTGGTTTTCAAACACATCTCCACTCTAGACTCAACACTCACATAGAAATCAGGGCATCCTATCACTGATGAATGTATGCTTGGGTGATTGGACTAGAGCCACTGTAGAACCACTAGGGGGCAGCATAGGAGTGTGCGGCAATGCTGGGGTGGCTCCCTAACGCCCCTGACCACTTCCTCATCCTGAGACCAGTCCTAGCTCAGGGACCTTATATACCTACAGAAAATCAAATCAACTCACATCAAAACCCACATATCCTGACCCCAGTTCCCTGTGGCAGCCAGGACACAGACCCTGCCACCTGCTGGATTAGCTGCATGGTCTTTGAAAGACAGAGGAGCCAAGTTCTCCCTTGTTCCGTGGGATGGGTCCCGTCTGTGCCCAGTCCCCTCATTCTGCTGTCCTTGGCAGCTGGCTCATTGCCATCTTGGCGCAGCTGAACCCCCTGTTTGGGCCACAACTGAAGAATGAGACCATTTGGTACGTGCGCTTCCTGTGGGAGTGACCACGGAGAGTGATCAGCTGGCTGCTGGCCCCAGGTACTGAGAGGAGACTCACTTGAGGGTGAACTGGGGGGCCTGCCGTGGGAAGGAAGGTGATCAGGACCATCACAGGGACTCCCTCTGGACTCAGGAATTTGTTTAGCAAGGGGAATGAAAGGCTATGCTAGCTGCTAAGAGACTGGGCCCCCTAGTCCCTGAGGCTCAAACACATAGCCTCAGCTATAGGGGTGCGGGTGAGACCCATCTGTAAGTTGGTCATGGTAAGGTGAGGCTGGCCATGGGTAGTGAGAGACCAGCTTGGATAGAGGGAGGTGAGGGTAAAATGATCCAAGTAGGGAAAGCCGTTAGCTGAGGTAGCTTTCCAGCCACAGGGGAAGGTAAAGAGGTGTCTAGGTGGTGACCCTTATGTGATGTGCTTTTCAGGTGCCCTGCTGTGGATGGCCCAGCCTTGATGTCCCTGGAGACCCTGCATTCCCATTGGCCCCACCAATCAGTGGATCCTTCTGTGTTCTCCGTGCTAGCACTGTGGGATTCACACCCCCAGAGCCAGCCTTGTTTCAGCTTCCCAGCCATGAGAAAGCCCTGTGCTCAGTCGGGCCACAGCAGGTCCAACCTGTGCTTAAATCCCCCCACTTGGCAGTTTTCTCTCTCTTCCAAGCAGATCCTAGCTAAGGGTCTGGACATCTGTTTCCATCCTGAGAGCAGAAGCCAGGACTCAGCCCAGTCCCAGAAAGGACATGATTCTTTGTGGAGAAGGGACATATGGCCCAGGATACTCCAGGGTTTTCAACTCTGTCTCACCTTGTGAAATATTGGGTCAGGGTCACAGGCCTTCTCTCCAGCTCTGGTGTGGATTATTCTTTAAGTTTCAAACACTTCTAGATGTGACAACACTGGAGATGTTGGTGTCTTAAAGAAACAGTCACACCAAAAACCCTGCACTGTACTTTGGGTCAAGATAGAAACTTCCATGTTTAGTTTTTTATAGCAGTGAAGACATTCAACATGGGAGGGAGATTGTGTGTCTTTGGTATGTTCTAGTCACTTTCCTCTCCCTCTGTAGATAAGCTCACCCACTCTCCAGAACCTGTCAGTTGGGGTGCAGCCATTCCTACCAGGAGGTCACACTCTTCATTGGGTTGTGTTGGGGCAGATCCAAGAGCTGGTCCCAAGAGCACTGGAGAGATTTGGAGCTGGGATTGGGGGACAGGCAAAGGTAATGTTTATGGGCTTCTACTGGCACTATGCCTCCCTGGCTTCTGAGACCCTCTGTCCCCAAGCTAATGTGCTCTGTGCCGGCACAAGGAAAGACAGAGAATGCAGACCACAGGGGATCAGCCTAGGGAACTCCTCCAGCCCATGCCCTCACCCCTCTGACAGTGTGAGTATGGATTTCATATTCTTAGCTGAGTTGCCAGAGCCTAGCTAGGACAGAGCCCTGTATAATCCCTGGTTCCCAGCCAGTGACTGAGTTCCCAGGGGAAGAAAAACAGCCTTGATTATTTAATGACTATTTATTTTGTCTTCCTCCCCTTGCAGGGGTCATTTTGGGAGTGGCAGTAGAATACACTATAGCTCAGATTCCTGGGCACTGGGCCTGCTGGTTGCCCAAAGCTTAGGTTGGGGCCTCCGTGGGCAACAACTCCCTTCCTACCCTAACCCCTGAAGCCTTCCTGTGTGGTGGGGCCTGGTGAGCATGAATTGTGTTGAAAGCTGAATCCTGTCTAATAAATAATGGTGATGCAAGATTGTGACTTAGTAGCCAAATTCTGGCCTCTGCTCAGTTTGCCAGCTGCCATGTTTTCTGTTGTCTCTTTCTATCCCCTCTACTCAGATGTTTTCTGTTTGTTTACTGGTGACTCTGAGGACAGGAAAAGGGACAGCACTTCTGGGACTTGGATGCAAAGGACCCTCCCATTTTTTGAGATCTGAAGGAAAGGCTGGTTCTACTGATTGTCCGACACTTGGCCCAGTCCCTGCCCAGTAGGAGAGAGACCAAGGCTTATTCAAGTGGCACTTCAACCCCTGACCTTTGCCCCCTGAGATCAGAGGGCACAGAGCCTGAGCAGAAAGCAGGTCCCATTTCTGAGCATGACCTTCCATGTTCCTGAGTATCTGAGCTTGGGATCTGTCTGTTGGACTGCTGGCCTAGGGTGAGGAAGAGTCAGCTACTCCAAGGCTGGGCCCTGTGGCTTCGGGGAGGGCGAACATCTCAGTTCCGTGGAGGCTGGGGGAGGGGAAAGAACTAGGAAATACTAAGGTGGACTCATCTTTGGGGTCCTGGAGCCAGTGGAGGGGTTTGGATTGATCCTAAGGGCAACAAAGAATGAGCTTGGCAGGGTAATCTGGAGGTACAGAACCAATAGAACGTGTGTGTGTGTGTGTGTGTGTGTGTGTGTGTGTGTGTGTGTGTGTGTGTGGGGTGGGGGGTAGGCTGAGGGGAGAGAACCAATAGAAAGTGTGTGTGTGTGTGTGTGTGTGTGTGTGTGTGTGTGTGTGTGTGTGTGTGTGAAGGGGGTTTATTAGACTGCCTTACACAGTGACTGTCTCCACAAAGATGAGGCCTGGAAAGCCACTGATGTTCAGGCCAAAGACAATGAGGTAAATGGTGGCAGCAAGCTGTAGACCCACATTCAAGAAGAAGGGCAGACAGCCAGGGGACACTGCTTTAACTAGATGGCCAGCTGGAAAGGGCCACCAATTCTGAAGAGAGTCTTTCCCTTTCAGTTAATTCTCTTTAGACATACCCTTGCAGACAGACCCAGGGACACATCTCCTAGGCTGATTTTAAATATTGTAAAATTATCAATTAACCAGCCATCATGAGGACTCAGAAAGGATTTAAAGTGGTATGTGACCCCAATTGATCTCTAGACTTCTCCGCACAGGATCTGCAGTGAACTCGAGGCTGGGCAATGATCCAGGGGTAGAAACCAAGTGGAAGTGGTGACCTTGAGGAGCATGTCATCAGGACCCCCCCATCGGCATCCAGGGGGTGCAGGGGGTGCTGAGTCCCTAGTCACCTGGGACATTTCAGTGCTAATCACAAGGCAGGGGCAGCAGTGGGAGGGGCTTGTCAGGCTGGGGGTCTCTTTTGTTGCATGTTGACCTGGCATAGTATTTGGGTTGGAAGGGTCAAGAGAAAGCTACACCCGAGTGGCCAGGACTATGGGTCGAGAGAATGGGAAATACCCAGAACAGAACTCCAAGAGCTCAAGGGATGGGTGGGTGCTTGGAGTGTCCAGAGCTAGAGGGGAACCGACAGACTGGAGAGCCAAATAATCCAGAGGAAGAGGGCTGAAATGGAGAGAATGGCTCAGGGTATCACACCAGTGTCTTCCACCCCAGGAAATCAAAGCCAACTGGGAGCTTTGCTGGGAGGCCACATCAGGCTGCTGGGGGCTGAGAGTGGGTGGGTAGGTGAGCTGAGAAACCCAAGAGAGAGCTGGCAGGGAAGAGCCTGTGGGCCTTCTGGAGCTGGGAGCAGAGGAATAAAAGGCAGCGACAGAAGGAACCTCTGGGTAAATAATCCAGGCCCTTGTGTGTGAGCCTGGGGTGTAGGGGACCATTCCCTCAGCTCCTCCTACTGGGATTCAGCCAGGGCCAGCCTGCTGCATTACTGTTGTCAGGGCTTCAGGTCTGGGATACCTGGAATCCTCTTTGGCCCAGAGTGAGGGCAAGGGAGGGCTTCTCTGCAAACAGCTGCTCCCTTTTCCCAGTTGTGTTCTGGACCCTGAGCTTCTTGGTGCTGGTTTGATGGCACTCCTTTGGATGCTGCCAGATGTGTGTGTCTGTGACTGGAAGTCACTGAGCTCTCCAGCAGCAGCCTCTGTTCCTAGAAGGTGGAGATGCTTCCTGGACAGCCTTTGGCCTGCTTGGGCCTGCAGCTCCTCGAGCCTGTAGCTTTATTCTGTCTAGTTTCTTTCTTCTGTATAGCCATTGGCTTCCCTTATAACTTTGGAGACAGAGAGTCCCCTGCTATGGTTAGAGGACAGCCATGGAAAAAAGAATGTGGCTACTATGGGTCCCCATGGTGTACAGCACACCCAAACGATGCACACAGGGGTCAGTGAGCTATGGAGATGGAGGTCTGGACCCAGGCACTTGCTTTTACAGGGATCAGGCTTTTATAAGTGTCAGGCACAGGCTAACCTGTTTAAAGCAAGTGGTTATGGAAAGATCTTCTCTAAGTCATTTCCCCAGAGGATGGGTTATCATGGGATCCCTCTGGCTTCTAGCTGTGTGTGAGCTTAGAGAGAGCCATGTGGCTTCAAGAAGAGAATTTAACTAAGCTAGATAGCTGCACACTAAAGGGAATCCAGGCCCCATACTAGGCATAGACTCTAACACAGTAGGGCAAGGAGAGTGGGGGCTGGGAGTACTTATCTCCTCACCCTCTGGTAAGATAAGTCTCCCACCCCTTTGCCAAGAACTATGTGCTATGTGGCTTTCCCTCCATGCTCAAGGTGGGAATATGCAGGGATAGTGGAGTTTCATCAAATTACACAAAACGTGGCCTGTGGGATGGCTCGTTAAGGTGCTTGCTGTCAAGTATGATGACCTGAATTTTGCTGCCCAGTCCTACTTGCCAATGGGGACAGACATTCCATGTCTCCTACTCAGTGCCTGTCTTTTGAAGCTCTGAATATGGTCCATTTGCAAGGCCCCTCTCCTTGTCTGATGTCTTGCCATAAGAAATAATTGTAGGGATCTGGGTGCTAAGTTATGTAGATCTGACTATGAGAACAAAAGTGTTCTTTAACTGTTAATGCTCTCACACCAGGGCCCCACCGTGCGGGGGAAGCTTATCCAGTTCACCAAGACAAGAGAGTTGTGCCTAATAGTTGATAAATACACTGCTGGGGATTTGGGGATGAATCCCATTATGAAAAAAGGTGGAGCACTATGTGTTCACACGGGTTTTACAGAAATGACAATGACTATTCAAAAGGCAGGTATCCCCAAGGCTTTACAAATGGGGTTTTTCTTCAAAGGAATGTGTTGATGATAATTCCAGTGGGTCAGCCTGATGAGCTTGTCCACTGAAATCTCACTGTGTGAGCCTGTGGACTGTAGCAGAATTTATCCCAGAACCTACACAATGGAAGGAGGAGAACCAAATCCTGCAAATTGTCCTCTGGTCCTCACTTTTTCACTGTGGCACTCGTGTGCACATGTGCCTGAATGCACACACACACACACACACACACACACACACACACACACTTAAAAAAAGATATACAAAACTGGACTTAAAGCTACAAGATGTATTTCATTTAACAGCTCCTCCAGAGAAGGCACTAAACTCCGGATCTTTGCAGTGGGGACAGAACATTTCAGAGAGTGAGAATAAGGTAGTCAAGAGGGTGTGATCAGGGGCTCAAGTTAAATTAGGAAAAAGGAAGTCCAGGATTATAAGGAGTTGGTTTAGCCAGGTGTGGTGGACACCCCTATAATCCCGGCACTCAGGAGAGTCGGAAGGATAGAGACTGCCCAGCCAGCCTGGACTACACACTGAGACCTTTCTCACAAAACTTGGTGTGGGGAGTCCTTCAGTGGCAGAGTGCTCGCCAAGTGTGCACAAGCCTGGGTTTTATGCCCAGCACCGTGCTCACAAATGGTCAGTGTGAATGAAATGGCTGTGTTGCTGATGGTCCGTGGTGAGAGTCAGGGCTTCCCTCTCCCAGATGTTGGAAGAGGTCATGACCTCCCTGATGAGGGCATTTCAGATGGATGACATTCAAGTCCTTGCAAGTGGCACTCCTGGTTGCTGGAGACGTGCACATGGGCATCTTGGAAACGGTGGCAGAATTTGCTGCTGTGAGCTGGTTTTGGTAAGTGCTGGGGAGGCCAGGGGTGTCAGAAACACCCACACAGAAGCCCAGCAGGGGAATCGAAGGCGTGCTTGTTCACATGGACTTTGACCACCTTGCTTCTGTCCTAAAAGACAAAGTTCATATTTCCTGGTTTGTGCAGAAAAACAGGCTCCATGTCTGGAATATAGCCTGCCTCATAGCTGAAGACCTACCTGAGGCTGGGATCAGCCTATCCAGCACCCTGCCTGAGGGGAGGAAGGGAACAGAGGGAGCCAGGTCCTCCCAGACCTGAGGACAGGATATTTCAAAGGAGTAATACATGGGATTTGGCCTTGGGCTGGGGTGGGGGGTAGTGCTAGGGTTGTTCCTGTTTCTGGGTGCAGGCAAGTTGTGAAGTTTCTGCACCCCAATAAGACTCTCCGTTGATGCAGTGCTCCTGGATGGCCTTCCAGCCACCCAGAGAGGACACAGTAAAGAGAGACCAGAAAACCACGAGTCTATTTTCTGGGAGGCAGTTTAAATACCCTGTGGGAGTGGTCTTGAGCATCTGAGGGAGGGGTCATCGTTTGGCAGGCTTTCTGAGAAGCAGAAGGGTTTGGAGAGAGATAGGAGAGGGGGGCTGGGGTGAAGCTTCCAAAAGTAGAGACAGCAGAGTGTGCAGGGCCCAAGTCTCCAGAAAGACATTCCAATTTATGCAATACTTGGTAGGGCTGCTGATGTCAAGATGATGGCCTCAGCAGTGGCTTTGGGTGGGAGCAGTGATGGTTTGTCAGCCTATAGCATCCTTCAAGGATGTTTAATAACAATGCTGGCTAATGATTCAGTGTAGCCTGGATACCTGTGAGGTGGGTTTCTAAGGCGTGAATACTCCCAGGTATTAGAAGTATGATAAATTTAAGATGGATGTGGTGGTGTGTTCCTGTATTTAGTTCCAGCATGTAGGAAGCTGAGGCAGGAGGATGATAAATTCCAGTCCAGACTGGGCTACCTCTTAGAGTACAAGACATGAATCTTGTCTGCAGCCTTGTCCTGGAACTTGCTGTGTAGACCAGGTTGGCCTAGAATCATCTCCTGAATGCTGGGATTAAAGATGTGTGCCACCACCTCTGCCCCGTCTGCCTCTTAAAGAAAAAAAAAAAAAGAAAAGTCTAGTCCTGGTGCATGCAATCATGACACTCAGGGCACAGAGGCAGGAGGACTGCTGCAAGTTGAAGGCCAGCCTGGTCTATATGGAAAGTTCCAAGAGAGTCAGGGCAATACTTTGAGACTCTGTTCCAAAACACAAAAGGCAAAAAAAAAAAAAAAATGATAAAGTTATGCTTTTCAAGGCTTGTTGTTTGCATATGGCAGTCCAAGAACTTAATGGATTAGTACAATGGAAGAAAAGAAGAGTCCAGGAATAATGGAACCTAAAGAACACATGAGCATAGCATATCAAATCCAAAAGGGAAAGGGGGGTGAGGCTATCAGCAATGTCTGAACTCCAGAGTCAGATCAATGACAATGGAGCATGAGCGTTAACAATTAAATGAACCTAGCGATGTACTAAAAGGAAACAGAAGAATTTTAAAGATATTATCGTGTAGTGGAGGAGATATCTAAAGGAAGGCAGGGGTGGGGAAAACCAGAAGCTATGGAGATTAATTTGAATCATTAGAATTGATTATAATTTATAGGTGTGCAAAGTACATCTGTGGTGCCAGCAGTGCAGGCACTAAGGGGAGAAGATTGCAAGTTTTAATTCAGTCTGGGCACTATATTGAGAATGTATCTCTAAAGAAAAAACATTTCCAATATGCTACAAGGCAAAAAGCTCATAAGGAAAATGGACAAAAGACATAAAAAGGCAATTCATAAAGAAGTATAAAACAGTTAAATGTCTTTTATAATTCATGTAAGTTAAAACCTGACAGTTCCCCTGTTACCTAGTCTATCAGCAAAGAGCAGAATCTAACACCAGAGCAGACAGAAGTCTGGAAGACTCCAGCACACCAGGAATGTCCTTGGTGGTGGTCACTCCTAGTAGCTCTCCTTGTCTGCATTTCACTTAGACATGCCAGCTCCGGTATTTTTAATAAACCCATAGCATTCTGAAGGTCTGCCACATTCAGAACTAGTTCACTGGCAGGCAATACACTTTCCTTTTCTAGACCTCTCTGGTGACACCTGAACTATTTCTAGGTGTTCCTGTTGTCACAGAGCAAATAGAAGCTGCAGGGCTGTTTCCCTCCCTAATCCTTTCCCTGATAATTTAAAGCCACAGTTATCTCATGAGGTATTCAAAATTCAAAAGAGACGTCTCTGCTGTCCTGTGATATGGGGGCTGCCCCAGGACCTCAAGATCCAGAGACCTTTGGAGAAGAGGAGAAGGCTCTCTAGAAAGGACCCCTGCTGCTTGGGGATTCTGTTTATTGTCTCTTTGTAACCCCAATGTGTCCTGAAGAAGCCCTTTGTACCCTTGAGCCCCTCCCCCAACTCCCACGGAGATTCAAGGCAGAAAAGCCTCCTGTATTTTCCCCAGTGCAGGCTCATTTCCTTTTACTAATTTCTGGCCCTTGGGCTTTTGGTAATGCTGAGCAACATGAACCTTAGGATCAAGTGCCAGGTTTAGCAAGCGGGGAAGAGTCCTGACCCTGGACAGTCAGTGCAGGACTATTGCTACGTCAAGCAATCACTAAGAAGAAGGGAATTCAGGTGTCTGTGGGCCAAGCCACTGGCCTGCAAGGCAGGACATCCCAGCCAATCCCAGGAGACATGCCTGAGGCCTCTTGGAATCTCTTGCTATACCATCTGGTGTGAGGAGCTATCCCACCACAGAGGCTTGTCCAGCTGTCCAGGTTGCTTTGGGGGTTACTGGTTGTTGTTTCTTTGGTTTGACTTTGGGTCTTTGCTTCTTGTAAGTATTTTGATTTCTAGGATGGGTGTCTCAGCTTCAATAATGTGGGGTCCAGGGCAACTTGGTACACACCTGCCACTTGGCTGCACTGCTTCCATGCCAAGGCTCAGTGGAGACCAACCAGAAAGTAGGCCTGAAGTTTCAGTTTACCCTGGGGCAACACCTGACTCCAGGAGACCACAGGCTGGGACCACCTGGGCACCACCCAGGAACAGACCAAAGAAAATTTCTAAGTTCCAACCATTGCAGATAGAATCACCCGATGTCCCTTAGCCTAACACACACCCATCCCTTTCCACCAAGACACCCCTAGACAAATGTCAGCCAATCAGGGATCCTGAACCTTAGAAATCCCTCACTCTAACCTCTGCTAAGATAAAAACCTTACCTTCCCCGGGTTAGGCATTTTCTCTGCTCTCAACCGCTGCCTCCGACAGAGGGAGAGTCCAAACTTGAGCTTGCTTGACTAAAGGCTCTTTCCTTTACATATGGGATTCTGTCTCCTTGTTGGTTTTTGGGGACCCTGTGATCTAGGCATACCAGATAATGGCTAGCAAGTCTTCTAGGCCATAGAGGAGCTGACTGGACAGATTGTAGTCACAGTTCTGTAACTAAAAGGGAGTTCACATGTCTGTGTACATGGCAACCAACAGAGCTGTCTCCTCCACCACATGAAAATAATAGAGGACAGGTCCTCTCTCCACAACTTAATAAAGATACCCAGTTTGTCTAGGGAGCATATAGTATGTCAGGGCAGAACAATACCCTGTAAGATAATGTCCAACCAGAGATCTGAGTGACCATGGCCAACTAGGAGGATGTTAATGAGCTTTTACTCTGTCCTCAACTTTAGCTTTGTAAAGCTGGATGCCTCTACTCTTCCCTATGGAGATGATCCACAGAAAGTGACTGACAATTCGTTTTGCCACTCACAGTCTTACCTGGACAGGATACTCAACTCTTCTTTAAATATTCTCCTAACTGTAGAGGAAAGAAGCCTAGTGATAGGAAAGACTACTAATCGGGTACTGTACCTCCACTCAGAAAACCTCCATTCAGAAGACCAGGAATGAACCAGTGAGATGGCTCAGTGGGCACAAGATGAAAACGTGAGTTTGAACCTGGACACACAGGAGCACACGCAGCCCACTTGCAAATAAATATAGTACAAAAGGAAAAATTTATTTTAAAAACAGAAACAGAGCTTTTCACCAAGATGGCGCCGAAAGCGAAGAAGGAAGCTCCTGCCCCTCCCAAAGCCGAAGCCAAAGGCCTTGAAAGCCAAGAAGGCAGTGCTGAAAGGCGTCCACAGCCACAAAAAGAAGAAGATCTGCACGGGCAGCCCAAATACCGGTGAAAGAGCGCACCCAGGAGAAACAAGCTTGACCACTATGCCATTATCAAATTCCCCCTGACCACTGAGTCAGCCATGAAGAAGACAGAAGACAACAACACACTTGTGTTCATTGTGGACGTCAAGGCCAACAAGCCCCAGATCAAACAGGCTGTGAAGAAGCTCTATGACATTGATGTGGCCAAAGTCAACACCCTCATAAGGCCTGACGAAGAGAAGAAGGCATATGTTCACTTGGCTCCTGATTATGATGCTCTGGATGTTGCCAACAAAATTGGGGTCATCTAAACTGAGTCCAGCTGGCTAATTCCAAATATACTCTTTCTCACCAAAAAACAAAAACAAAAACCAAAACCAAATAACAACAACAAAAAACAGAACCAGAGTGTGACGGCTGGTTAAATAGTGGTATGAAGGTTACGGAGGTAACCAAGCCTGCTTTCTGATTAGATGCAAGGCCTGTTCCTTAGGAGGGAATTCATGCCTAGTCCTTTAAACCTGGCTCAGTGGGCTGTAGGAGGAACCCACCTCTGTTGTTTTGCTAAATGGACATTGTCTTGGTCACTGTTCTGTTACTGTAAAGAGACACCATGACCAAGGTCACTCATATAAAAGGAAGCATCTACTCAAGGTCTCACTTATAGTTTCAGAAGCTTAGCCCATTATCATCATGCGGACAGCAGGGCAGGATGCAGGTGTGTTCTCTTCCAGAGAACACGAGTTTGGTTTTCAGCACCCAGATGGCATCTCACTACCATCTGTAACTCCAGTTCCAGTTACCCTCTTGTGACCTCTGAGGGTACCAGGCATGCATGTATGTGGTGGTACACATACATTCAGACCCTCACTCATACAGATAAATAAAATTTAGAAGTCTTTTAAGGGCGAGGACGATTACTGTATCTCAGAAGAAATAGCATTCCTTCAAGAAAGAGGCTTTAGAAAGACTTCAGCCCTTGTTAGAGGAACTGATGAAATTCGGACTCAGTTGGTCTGGTTATGCTTTGCCCTACAGTACTCCAATTCTGCCTATTAATAAACTCATACAAGGGAGTATGGGTTTGTTCTGGAATATTTGGTCTTCTGTGCCAAACTTTGTTGAGTATTACTTGCTAAGGATATGGTGTTTAGCACTGGTCCTCAAAGGTGCTTCCTTTTTGTACCCAACTTGAAGACAAGGCTCAATTATTATTTGTTTTTGAATGACAAGATTGAATGGAATGAGGACATGACAGCTGCTAGGTATAGTTGGGGAGGTTTTTATTGTAGATATGAGAGAGAGTAACAGCCAGAGACCTCTGGAAGGGAGAGAAAATGCTAGACTGAGCACGGCCAGCAGACTGAACCAGGCCATGAGAGGAGAGAAAAAGGGGGGTGGGGAGAGCCAAAGGAGCAAACAGAGATCCAAGAAGGCAAAAAGAGCCAGGAGGGCAAAAAGTGCATGGCCAGAATGGCAAGTTCTTATAGGAATCAAAAGCTGGGGGAAGGGAATCAAAGCCCTTGGGCTCCAGAGGTTTAGGGGAGGGGGTGGGGTGAGCAGTGCTAAAAGGAGCTACAGGCTAGAGGTCAGTATGCATTTTGGTTTGCCAATGGGCACAGTAGTCAGCCATTTGTCCTGTATTTTCTTTGGGACCTGTCAAAGATATCAAAACCCACTTTCTAATACTGTGGGGCTGTGTTGCCTCACGGCTTCAGAAACCTTCCCATCGTTTTTCTAAGATTTGAGCTAATGACTTAAGAACCCTGTAATTGGAAGAAGGGGCTGCAATTCACTGATGATTTTACTCATAGCAAACCCTGGTGATGAGAAGTATCTCACACCAGTTTTGAGTGCTAAATCAGATGGTTTTCTGGATACAGCCAACCCACAAAATACAGATTTGCAAGCAGAGAGTAAATCACCTTTGGTTTCAGTTAAGAAAGGGTAAACAGCCTACTGAAATGGACAATCACCAACATGCAAGGCCTTGTAAAGGAGGCAATTCCAATGCTAGGCAGAGTCCTGGAGAGGCAAGACCAGTTATATTTAACTGCAAAAGGTGATTGGGCACTTGACTAATTAAATTTAAATTAACATCATGCTGGAGGTGGTGATACACTCCTTTAATCCTAACCCTGGGGGAGTAAGTAAATCTTTGTAAGTTCTAGGCAAGACTGATCTATATCAAGGCCAGCAAGGGAAATAGTAAGACCTTGTCTCAAATAAATATAAATAAACAAACAAATTAAGAAATTAACAATGGCATCAGCCTTGGCCACTGAGCTCTGAAACCCTTTCATATTGTGTCCCCTTGAGAAACAGGACATAGGTTTAGGGGTCCATTAAGAAGCGTGGAGAGTCCCCTCCACATCTAGCATACTTGGTTCAGAGTCACTAAGCCTTGGTTCAGAGTCACTAAGCAAGGTGATGAGTAGAAGCAGCTGCGGGCTTTGGTACCTAACTTGCACTATCTGAGTTCAAAGCTGGCTACACAGAGCAGGGTAGGGCAGGAGCTCAAGAGCGGAGTATCAGGAGTATAAAACCTGACTCACTGTGGAAACTCAATACCGTGGGACAGTTAGACTTTCTGAAGCCTGGGACACTGATTTTATGGCAATGATGCTCTCACAGATGACCCTGCTTGAAAGAGGCACACTTTCAAAATGCTGTTCAAATGACTACACAATGATTCATGTGTGAGCCAGAAATAAAACTAAATGAAACACAAGCCACCTTAGAAAAGAGTGCAGTCTCAGAGGACATGACAGATGACCCTTTGAAAACTGGAAACTAATCCAGAGGATTTAATGCCCTATTCTAAGTGTGTTGGCACCAGGTAGGAAAGTGGTACACATGCATAGGAAAAACACTCAACATGAATAAATATAAAAATACATTTGGCTGAGCAAAATAAGCCAGATACACTTTCAAGCACACACTTCTTTTAATCCATTTTGACTACTGTCTCTCTCAGTTTGGGTTTCTATTGCTACAATGGGACACCATAACCAAAGGCAAGTTGCGGGGAGGGGGAGGGCGGGGGAGGAGGCATTTATCTGGCTTTCACACATCAGCAGCGAACAGTGAAGGAGATCAGGAAAGGAACTCAAACAGGGTGGGAAGCTGGAGGCAGGAGCTGGTGCAGAGCCCATGGAAGAGCACTGCTTCTTGGCTTGTTCAACATGATTTGCTCAGCCTTCTTTCTTACGGAACCCAGGACCAGCAAGCAGCCCAAAGGTGACACCACTCACAAAGGGCTAACATCAGAAACCAATTAAGAAAATGTGCTACAACTGGATATTATAGAGGCATTTTCTTACTTGAAGCTCCCTGTTCTCAGATGACTTTAGCTAGTGTCAAGCTGACGTAACATTATTCAGCACAGCTGCTTTAATAAAACACCGGGGGCGAGTAGGTTATCAACAAGAGATATTTATTTCTCACAGTCTCAGAGTCTAGAAAGTCCAAGATCAAAGAGTTAGCAGATTAGGTGACCAGGGAGGGGCCAACTTGTAAAATATTTTCACGTGAAGAACAAGTTAATTCTCCAAGTCTCTTTAATTAAGGCATTAAACCCATTTGAAGGTTCCACTTTGAAGACAATCACCTCCCAAAGGCCTAGTCATCTAATGGTAACAATTTCAAAATAAGAATTGTGTTTTCAGGGAGACACAGGCATCCATACCCTAGCAACACCATATAGTTTCGGCTATATAAGAGACTAGAAGCTGGGCATAGTGGTGCATACCTTTAATCTCAGGCAGAGGCAGGTAGATCTCTGGGAGTTCCAGAACAGCCAGGGCTACATAGTGAGACCCTGTCTCAAACAAAACAAAACAGAACAAACAAAAACAACAACAACAAAAACCGAAACAAACCTGGGTGGGAGGGAGATTAGAAAAATTTAATCTAGTTCTTAGTAACAAGATTACCAGTTACTTGGGGAATGGGGTGGGAAGTTACCTGGGAGATAGCAGAGTCCCTATCCTGATGCTACTGGTTATACAGATAATGCATTTGTCAAAACTTGCTGAAAGGGTACACTTGAGAAGTTGAAGAATTTATCAGATCTAGAAATAGAGACAGGTATTTCTGTAGGGACAGAAAACTACAACAGAGCAGGAAGCTGGAACAGACCATAGAAACTAGGAATAGATCAGGCATGCCACACAGAAAAAAGGGGGCCAGAACAAACCAGCAGGGAAGCAGAGACTGTGGGAGAATTGGGCTTCTAAATGGAAAAAAGACAAACCACAAACAAAAATAAAGATTGTTTAGGGGGCCAGGGCTAAGGTCTTCAAAATGTTAAAGTATGAGAGAATGGGTTCATGATGCCAGAAAAAAAAAAAAAAAGAAAGAAAGAAAAAAAAAGGTCTAAATGTTTGAGAGCATATTTTTTTGTTTTTGTTTTTTCGAGATAGGATTTCTCTGTGTAACAGTCTTGGCTGTCCTGGAACTCACTTTGTAGTCCAGGCTGGCCTACAAGCTCACAGAGATCCACCTGCCTCTGCCTCCTGAGTGCTGGGATTAAAGGCTTGGGCCACTACTGCCTGGCTTGACAACATATTTTTGCAGTCCAAATCACTTGGTCATTTTCTATGCACAGACTCCATCCCTGCTTCTGGGCTATAAATCTCCCATTGTCACTGTGTTAGGAGTTGAGTATGCCTTCTCTCTACTGCAACTGTCATGGTGTTGTGAAGATGGAAGCCAGGGCCTCACATGTAGTAAGTACTCCACCATCGAAACATTTATTCCCAGACAGTAGTTCCCTCTCGAATAGTTTTTCTTCGTGTCTTAAGAGGCTTGTGTTTGTTTTTGTATTTTGAGAGTTTCTCTGTATAGCCCTGGCTGTTCTGGAACTTGCTCTGTAGACCCAGGCTGGCCTTGAACTCACAGAGATCTGCCTTCCTCTGCCTCCCGAGTGCTGGGAGTAAAGGCATGTGCCACCACTGCCCAGATTAGAGATCTTTTTGACATTTTTTCCTTAGCATTTCTTATTTTATTTTGGTTTTTCGAGACAGGGTTTCTCTGTGGCTTTGGAGCCTATCCTGGAACTAGCTCTTGTAGACCAGGCTGGTCTCGAACTCAGAGAGATCCATCTGCCTCTGCCTCCCGAGTGCTGGGATTAAAGGCATGCATCACCAACGCCCGGCTAGCATTTATTTTAACATGCTGTGCGATGTATAATGAACACCCCCGTTTCTGAAGCATGTGTTAATCCCACTGAACAAGAGTAAATACCAACAACTCAAATTTTCTGGTCGAATTAAGTAAGCTTTATGTCAAACAGGGCAATCTCCCTAAATCGAGGTTTGAGAGAATAGCCGCCAAACAGAAGAAAAATGAGGTATTTCTATAGTCTCCAAGGCTAGATTTGGTTCCGTGACTTGGAGGAACATCTCAAAATTACTTGGCAGAACATCTTATCAGAGCATAAGGCGTGGGACATGTCAAATTCCAGAAAATAGGTCAAGACACCCATCAAGTAAGTTTTACAGAAATCAGGAATGGATTCATCTTGACCTTGTAACCAGATGGCATCTTTTTTGTTTTGTTTCTCAAGCCAGGGTTTCTCTGTGTGGTCAGGCTGTCACGGACCTCACTGTGTAGCCCAGGCTGGCCTGGAACTCACCGAGACGGGCCTGCCTCTGCCTCCCGAGAGCGGGTTAAAGGTGTGGCTGCTGCTCCTGATGCTAAGACAGACAGACCCAGGCTGGTCC